TAAGAGAGAGAAAGAAAGAGCAACAAAAAGAAGGGAGGAATTTAAAAAGAGAGAGAAAAGAGAGGCAGAGAATGAGTGGAGAGAGAGAGAGAGAGAGAGTGGGGAGAGTGAGAGAGAGGGGGGAAAGTGAGAGAGAGGGGGGAGAGTGAGACAGATGAAAAAAATGAAGACTGCATATATTGCATGAACCTATTATAACGTTATTTATGAGTGCATTTGTCAGTAGTCGCTGTTGTTTATTAATGTCCCTGTATTCTATAGTCCATTATCTAATCCAGTTATATACACCTAAATAGTAAATACACACATGCGTACAATGCCACCGTACATTACAATGTTGCAGATATCACGTGTCATTATGCTATTATACTCCTTGGGTTTTATTTACTATGAACAAAATAATAGGACAACTTGATGTTATTTATTTCTGTGTTCATTGATTTTATTATCTTACATAATTTAGGATATTTTACCTATATTGTGGAATTAAACACAATCCCATTGTTACTTAAACTACATGTGTTGTATAGTGTTTCCACCTGTTCTGTTTGTTTATAACCCCAGAAATCGCAAATACAATCCAATGTGCATTAATTTGATATATATACGAATTAAATGGGAAGTAGGCATTACAGAGCGACAATATTACACTGACAATTATAATTCAAACAGCTATTGGTCTTCCAGACTACCATAGCACTTACAGAGCATGATGAGGCGAATGCTATATAGAATTTTCAGACTATCGTCGTACTTTCAGAGTATCACTGGTATTTTATACTACTAGACTATACAGTCGTACACGTACTTGAATGTGACGTAGAATTGCTAGTCTACATACAACAAAATGTTGGCTTACAAGTTACAATACATCAGGAGTGTATAATAGGGATTATTCCTATTATACACTCCTGAATACATCCATAAGCAGATGCTTGCGTGGGGTTTTGTCACGCAGGTGCGTGGTAAATAGAGTATAAGGACATTTGATCCTATATATGTGTTAGCTGTATTAGTTATCATCAGTTACTCAAATCTATGCTTCAAGTTGACTGGTTCAAACATTTTCTTGCAGAGGGCGTCCGCGAAGTCGCTCATCTCATCGTCAAAGTGATTCCTCCAGTCGCCAACTTTTCCTGTCGAGAGAAAATACGAATAAATAATCGGCTATAGGTGACGCAGACACAACAGCTAGCTTTCTGTTTCGCTTGTGCAGAAACAATCTTATAGGATCTTCATGGTCCGCTCACAACTACTGCGATTATTCACGGGATCGTTCGTCTTTACCACAGGCACTTCGGACAAAGTCAGTAAAAACTGAAAATAGATGAACGCACATTCACAATTACTACCCCTCAATTACACTTCCGCTGTTGTATATCAACTTGCTTTCACAAAAACTAATGCAGAACTAGCCGCTCCCGCACTCGCCGTGGAAGTGTAATTGAGGGGTAGTATTTGTGAATGTGCGGTTATCTTATTTTCAGTTTTTACTGACTGTCCCAAGTGCCTGTGGTCTTTACTACCGCACTGCACCCTCGCTATTGTTCTTTACAGCAGTAGCACGTTATAGTTATACACAGCAGTATTAGTTGCTAATAAATGTACACGACAAGGCATGATTCTACTGGCGCCCCCTAGCGTGGCGACAGCGTAAATACAGTTGCTATTTATCGTCATGGAAACCGTAGTTCACATAACGATTGCTTTTACGGACATCATATCGGCTATAAAGAATCATGCAATGCAGTGAAGACTAAACGGAGATTTATCCAAGGCTATAGGACTTGGATATCAAAAATTCCAAGAAGAAACAAACGTCAAACGATGGGAGACTGTGGAATCGCCTGATATCGACGCTAAAGCTGAACGCAGACAAGCAGCGGAAAGAGGTAACAACGGATGGCGGCCAGTATACGGTATCCATGGTAGCCGTAACACGTATAATATGCTACTTGCTGTCCGTTCCTCTTACCTTTGCGCATCAAAGGCACGGAATCGGCGGGCCGGAGGCCCGTGCGGCTGAGGAACTCCCAATTGCTCAGAGGGTTCTTTCGCATGCGTTCGAATGTTGTCTCGTTGACGATGGTCGCCACCTGTTGCGTTGCCCTCACGCTTGCTTTGGTCTCAGCGACAAGTCTGCGATGCGACGCACGCCCCCTGCCAAGGTCCTGCGAGCGATCAGACACGTATACGGCGTTGAGCGTGCGCATTACGGGCAGAGAGCAGCGAGGCGTGCGAGGAGGGGGCCAGGAAGGGAGAGGACGGTGAGGAGGCCGGAGGAAGGAGCCGAGATGGTGGAGGAGGAGCGGAGGAAGGGACCGGAGGACGGGGAGGAGAGGAGGAAGGGAGAGGATGGTGAGGAGGAGGGAGGAAGGGAGAAGGAATGGTGAGGAGGAGGGAGGAAGGGAGAGGACGACGAGGACGGCAGCGCGTTGGAGGGGGAAGAGGGGGGAGGAAGGAGAGGAGGAGAGAGGTAGAGGAGGACGGGAGAAGAGGAGGAAGAAGGAGGCAGGGAGGAAAGGGAGAAGGGAGGAAAGGGAGAGAGAGGAGAGGACGACCGAGGATAAGCAGCGCGCGTTAGGAGGCAGAAAGGAGGGAGGGAGAAGGAGCGAGGAGCGGAGAGAGGAGGGAGGAGAGGAGGAAGGAGAGGAGGAGGGCAGGAAGAAGGGAACGGAGGAGGAGAGGAACAGAGAGACACGAGGACACCGGCCAGAGGCGGTTGGCAGGAGGGGGAGAGGGAGGGAGAAGGAGAGGAGGAGAGGACGACGAGGACGGCAGGCGGTTAGGAGGGGGAGAGGGAGGGAGGGAGGAAGGAGAGGAGGTGGGAGGGGAATAACGATGAGTGAGAGGGAGATGTGAGGAAAGATGGGAGAGAGGGGAGGACGGGAGGGAGAAGACGGTGAAGATTGAAAAGCACAAGAAGAAGAGGAAGCATGGAGATAATAGCTAACGTTCGAGGCAGGCCGAGAAGAAAAAACTCGTAAAGAAGAACATGCATGTAAATGTAACTCAATGTACAACAATAGACATATAACCTGACCTCGACTAGCAATTTCGTAGAAGAGAAATAGAACGTGGCCGCTGTTTCTCTTGCTTCGCCAGTATTCCAGATTGTGCTGCGAAATAGGTTGCCAAACTAGCCATGCGAACAGGAAAAACATATCAAATGATATATATATATATAGTATATAATTCGACTATTTACTTCTTATTTCTTAACACATACGCACACACGAACGCGTACATTTTCATAGAAATACAGCCAATATGCCATATATTGTGCTCGAAATAGTTGCCAAACAGCACTGCGAACAAAACGCGAACATAATGTATTAACATATGTATAAAATAACACACACACACACCCGCGATACACGCGCCGCGTGCGCAACACACACTGCACGCGCCACCGCACACACGCCACACACACGCACAACATACGCCCACGGCCTGATCCTCTCCTATTGCAACGCCAGGACCTTTGGCTCCAGATAGGCCGAGGCGCCTGTAGCATGGGTTCGTGGTCGAGCCATCGCTGTACTGTCTGCAGGTGGCTTTGGGAAATGTCATGGTCCCTTGATTCATGTAGTGAAAAGGACACGGCGCCACGTCCTTTATAGTGCCGCTCACGTAGATAATGCTGCAGCAAATAACAGGTCAGAGGTCAGAGGTCAAGCTCAAGTCAGAGGTCAGACGGTCGACGAGTAGGCCCCACGAGCGCTATGACGTCACGCGCAACGCTGCCTACACTACAGGCCAAGACACACGGCAGCGCTTACAGACTGAGCGCAAATACCAGAGGGACAGGGGGACATGTCCCCCCCCACGAATTTCAACAGATTTTGATCACCATGATTTTGTGTGTAAGTGTGGTGTGTGGTGTGTGATCGCGTGTGTGCGTGCCTGTGTGTGTGTGTGGTGTGGTGTGTGCGTGTGTGTGTATGTGTGCTGTGTGCAGTGTGTGTGTGTGTGGCGGCCGCGCGCGCGCGTGTGTGTGTGTGTGTGTGTGTGTGTGTGCTGTGTGTGTCGATTGTGTTGTGGCTTGTGTGTGTGTGGTGTGCTGTGTTTGTGAAGTGAGCAACTTTTTTATTGTGTGGGATGTGCAGTGCAACGATCTGGCTTCATTCCGCTTTTTTCTTGCCAGCTTTCATTCATTCAAGTGCATTTGAGAGCATAATAATAATAATGCACAACCTTAAGAAAAATGTGTCTTGAATAAATTTAGTACCGTTTCTTTTTTAACACACGGTTTTTTTCTTATATTAAATAATCTTATTTGCAGGAAATCATGCAAGAGAACAGTATGTTTTATGAAAGTTTAGCGAGATATCAGCTCACATCTAGACACCTGATTCAAGAATTAACTGGCGAACACGAGGCTATATTCACGCAAAAAGACACCTGAGTACTAGCATCGGATGTAATTTTCCAATTGGCAAATTGACTGATATATGATATCACACGCATATCATGATATACTGGCATCAACACATAATTAAGACGACCATTTATTTGTGATTGAGCGGCTCAAACAGCCAAATGATTGGTTTTCTGCTTTTTGCTTTTCTTGATTTTATGAACTGCATGTGGACACATTTTCGTAATCTTATTCACAAAACTAAATGTGCACGTTGCTGTGTCTGCGTGTCGCTGCGCGCGCGCGCCGTGTGATGTGTATGTGGTGTGTGTGTGTGTGGTGTGCTTGTGTGTGTGTCAGGGAGCCGTGTATGCAGGGGGCGTGTACAGGGCGTCCGGACCCCCCCTGCTCGCGCAGAGAAACGAGCTGAGGGCGGGTCGAATTTCTTTTCGGCGGGAAGAGGGCCGCAGCACGCCCCCTTCGCCCGTGCTCGCTACTCGGTGTCCCCTACATTTAAAATGGCATCGCGCCTTGCAGCCATCAACGCACCAACCGCTAACGTTTGACGACACTTGGAGACAATAGAAACTGTGTTTCCAATAGCTGTTGCACACCCACGCCGATAACGCGTCGGCGGCGATAACCGTGACGACCTATATAAAATATATTTAGAATCGTTTCTCAAGTTTCCTAGCGACATCACGTCGCGCGACATATTGCATACACATAGCCAATCACAGACGTAGGTTGTGTTTCATCGCACGTGACACAAAACATTTCCGTAATCAAAACTGTTGATGCTGCTCTGGCGCAGTCGTCTGCGTGTCTTGCAATGGCGTCGATCGAACAAATAATTCTAGGCTTTCCAGGGTTCGTATGAGTCCTGGTGAAATATGACAAACGCTGACTCCAGTTTCTGGACTGGCTTCAGCCTAATAACAGGTAGAACTATAGCAAGTGGTACAATTTAGTGCGAACATTTACAAAACAGCAACAGGCAAAAGGCGATTTCGTCGGCTGTTGTATGTCCGCCATTATGTTCCGCCATTACTGTAGCCAAAAATCGGACGACCGCCTAGTAGTCGTAACGTTTCAGTGTGGCCTGGGCCGTCGTGCAATTTTGACGCTCGACACGTTGACGGTTGGTGCGTTATGCCGCCTGTGCAGTGTGCTCTTTGGTCCTGTGTGATACCGCGATATCACTGAATCTACGACTGCATATGTAGCAGTGATATTGCAGTTGATGTGTGTTGCCACAAATCGGCTAATCTTAGCTAGTTGCGAGAGGCTTCACCTCGTGTTGAACAGACAAGGATCACAGGCACTTGGAGCGTTTCAGATATAAAATATAATGCTAAATAAATACGAAATCTATTTACTTACCAAAGTCTTAACGTTTCTCTCTAACTCGCTCTTTCAACCTATTTTGCCGACAGATTTCTGTAAGATGCCATCGCAAATGCTCCAGGCTGCAACACACTTCAATCACGCTGCCGTCGGCACGCTAGCTGACTGTGTACTGCGATGTTGCAAAGATGAGGCATCTTGACCGGAATTTACAGAGTGATTATAGGCCGAAATAGAGTACGAGAAACATTAAGGATTTGGTCAGTAAAATACATTTCGTGTTAGTTTACCTTTTTTATTTTTGTATTGAGACGTTCCAACGTCGGCCCTGTGACAAGGATGTCCACGTTTACGTCGGGCACGCGTTGACAGTAACGCGCCTGGAACCGCTGGCTCAGCTAGATTCAAGATTCAAGATTTAAATCAAAGATAGAGATGTCTTCTTTTTTTTTTTGTTCATCCCCCGCCCTCCCGTCCACCTTCTCTCCGTAAATAGCCGCTATTTGTCATCATGGCACCTCTAACGACCGCAGCCCGCCCCCTACGGACGGTGTTTCGGGGGGAGACGTCACGATACTGCTACCTTGCCCACTTCTTCTCTTTGGCCTCTTGGCGGGACGCGTTTCCACGAGCATAGTGCGTTTTGAATATCGTGGCGGACTCCATCTGCGTCTCGCGGGCACATATTTGTTACACATCAACTGCCAACGGGTAGACACACACACGCACATAGTTCTGATCCGTTGAGCGCTGTGTGGAACGCTGGATTGCTGCACATGGGCTGATTACATGTGAAAGGACCGGCATAATCACAGGCCCCTGATGCAAGATATCACAGAGTCATTCTTTTGGTCGGATGGAGTTAGTGGACCCCATTCTAGTTGGATTGTTCAACCGCTCACTGCGCCTCCTCCATGAGGCGATAATGTGCACACTGGCTCACGCGCCGTGAGCGCACGCATACACGCCCGCACGCGACAGCGGCATGCACTGCACAATCACACGCCCACGGGCGCACACACTCACGCCCACGTATTCCCGCCACTCACAAGTATTCACGCACGCCCACACGCACACACCCGATCATACACAGCGTGCACGCACCTATCTACTTCGCGCGCACGCGCAGATGCGAGCGTTATATAGAGACTAGTCTATATGAGCTCTGAACGCCAAGATATACGACGCCACGCATCCTAAGCCCACGTCCACTCTCGTACGCAGCGGGCGTGTTACAGATTATGTACCAGAGACGGGTCTAGACCCGCTAACCCCAACTGTGCAATGCACCGCGAAGTGGGGGGGGGGCGGGGTGCCTGGCGGGGCTCCACCGACCCCAAGAATCTTATTTTCGCAACATTAGACCCCCTTAGATGCGTTTTCTG